GGGTGAGTGGCTGCCACTGGGGGGGAGATATATCTGGGGGGGGGGGTGGTCAACAGGATCTGGGAGTGTAGGGATAGGACAGTCTGAGGTAGGGACCTGTGAGGAAATTAAGGGAAGACAGAAGTCAGGAGAAGAGTGTGGGGGGTCAAGGTAAGGGTGGCCCCAAAGCAGCTGAGGATATCACAGCCAAGCAGAGGTACAGAACAAAGGTATGACTAGAAAAAGTGTGTGAGGAGGAGGTCCCATCCACCCCAGTGACAGAAATTGGCCGGAGAATCGTGGGACCCAAATGAGAGGTTAAGACAGAATAGGTAGCTCTTGTGTCCACCAGAAAGGTGATGGACTCACCCAATACCTGGGGCTAGGGTGAAGGGAGTCTTCCAAGTCTGGGTGTCGTCAGTCCAACAGGCCGAGGAGGTCCAAGGCTAGAAGAATCTCAAGATGTGTGTTCGGGTGACCTCTGTGGCGTGGCATAGAGGACGAGCCCCAATGGGGGCATTCTGACTTCCAGTGGCCAGGCTGCCTGCAGATGGGGCATGGCTTGGTTGGTGGCTGAGGGTCAGGGCAGCACCGGGACCAATGGCCTTCCTGGCCGCACTTGAAGCAGGGTCCTGGTGGGTTTGACCTTGGTTGGGCTCCTGCTCGACGGAGCCTTGTGGATTTCCCTTGTCCCCCTTGTGGGGTTGCCAATGGCCTCAGGGCAGATGCCAAGGCACGAGCTTGGAGCATAGCCTTCTCTCGCAGTTGAGCCTCCTCTCGGGCATTAAACACCTTCAAAGCCAGTCTCAGCAATTCATGTATGGGGGTTTGGGGACCATACTCAGCCTTTTTTAATTTCTTTCTAATATCTGGTGATGACTGATAAATGAAATGGATGGCCAGGATTATGGCTCCCGGTGTGGAGGTTGGTTCAAGGTGTGTATGAACCATGGCCTCTCTAAGTCGATTTAGGAAAACGGCTGGATTTTCATCAGCTTGCTGTGTAATTGCTTGGAATTTATCAAAATAAATTTCTTTTGAGACCATCTCCATACCCTGAAGGAGGCAGTGGACCATGAGGTCCCTCATCTGGCAGCCACTTTGACCTGGCCGATAGTCCCAATTGGGTTCCGTAACTGGCACCACATCAAACACAAGGACTGGATAGTTCACTAGGTAGATTTGGTCTGCATATTTTCTAGCTGCTGCCTGAATCCGATCTCGCTCCTCAGGAGTGAGAGTGGAGGTCTGGATGACATAGAGGTCATGCCAGGTCAGGTCATAGGCTTGGGAAAGAAAACGGAACTCCTTGATATAGACAGAAGGATTCTCAGAGAAGGAACCCAACCGCTTTTCTATCTGTGAGAATTCAATTTTCTTTGAGACCATCTCCATACCCTGAAGGAGGCAGTGGACCATGAGATCCCTTTTCTGGCAGCCACTTTGACCTGACTGATAGTTCCAGTGGGGTTCAGTAGCTGGCACCGCCATGTCACCCACAGGGACTGTATTGTCCACTAGGTGGGTTTGGTCTGCATATTGTCTAGCTGCTGCCTGAATCCAACCTCGCTCCTCAGGAGTGAGAGTGGAGGCCTGGATAGCACAGAGGTCATGCCAGGTCAGGTCATAGGCTTGGGAAAGAAAACGGAACTCCTTGATATAGACAGAAGGATTCTCAGAGAAGGAACCCAATCGCTTTTCTATCTGTGAGAGGTCCTGAAGGGAGAAAGGGGCATGGACTCGAACAATTCCCTCATTTCCGGCCACCTCTCGGAGCGGGCAGAGGAGGCCAGGGGTTGGCTGAGATCGACTATGAGATGGCACTAGGGAGGATTCAGGGGGAGTAGGCCAGTATGTTGATAGGGACCCGGGTGCAGGTTGTGGCACTGAAGAATGGAGAGGGGGCAGGGAAGGAGGAGAGGCAGTAGGAGGGAGGGGGAGAGAGGAAGGTAGGCAAGGGGAAGGAAGTTGGCCTTCGACCTTTGTCCCAGAGGGGGAAGATGGGGATAGGGGTGTGGAAAGGGAAGGTTGGCCACTGAATGGACCTTGTGGCAGTGTGGGAGGGGGAGAAGACAGGGTTCGAGGGAGGGGTTGAGATGCCAGAGACTCAGATGGCACCATCAGGGTGGAGTGGTCACGGTCCAAGTCCCCAGATAAATTGGATAAATTTTGTAGTAGACACTCTGGAACTGAATAACGGCTTCGTTTAGACCAACAGCTGCCCATTTCCAAGCCTGTGCCAGAGACTAGAGCAATGCATCCACCGAAGACGGTCTTTTCTCCTAAACGGATTGGTGTTGCCCGGCGCAAAGATCCCGTCTGCCAGAGAGGAAGATAAAAAGAAGAGTGGCCTCCCACGTGGCTGGTGAACCTGGTCTGTCCAGCACCGAAGGCTCAGTTCCTTCCGGGGCTTCTGGCACCAATTTGACAGGTTTCTCCTCCAACACAGTAAGCCAGATCGAGCTGAATTAAAAAGTAAAGGACCAAGTTTATTTGGACAAAGCATTCCCAGGTGATCCTCCAGTCCCCAGAGATGAGGTGGGAGAAGGGGGCAGGAGAAAAATCACATGGCCAGTCTAAAGGAAGGGACTTAAATGTCCTGTAGGCACAGGGGTGGTGACGAGTCCTCCACAAGCTGTGTTTGTGCCTAAGTATGGCAGCTTTTAGGCGGGGTCTTAAGTAACTAGCAACTGCTAGGGTAGGAGCCACCACCGCCACCGCAGACCTGGACTTTTTTGGCGGGTTTTTCTGAAAGGGCAGGGTCTGGAGAGGGAGGATTGCCACTGCTGGATCAAGCACGGGTGAGCTGCAGATTGCAGCTGAACACACACAGAGAGAAGCTAGAGGACAGGGGGAGAACGCCGAGACTCTCAGAGGACTAAGGCTTAGACCTGCCCCCGGTACCTGAGAAGATGGAAGCAGGGGAGAGTTACACGCGGGTGACCTGGATTAGGACACCACCTTGGTGCCGGAACCTTGAAGCACAGAGCTGGAGTTTCCCCGTGGAACTCTTTCAGCAATGGGAAACCACGGTACCTACAGCCTTCTCGGCAACAAACAGCC